GCATCAGAGTTGCCGATAGAGGCAATGGTATTCATTCGGCGATTGCTGGTTACTGAACAAGAAACTTCGCTACAGACCAGGTGCTGGCCGCCATGGATCGTTACAAACATAAATGCCGGCAGCTTCTCGAGGATTTTAATCCCTCCGAAAACGGCTATGAAGAATCGCTCCCCATGTCGGTCAGCGAACAACGGTTAGATGGTGGAGGAACCAACGCAGAATTAGGGGACATTTCTGTATTTCTATCGTCAATCATCGTGTTAAAGCAGTTCCTGCTTCCCGTTCCTTCGTTCCAACAGCCAAATTTCTTATTGAAATCTTCCTTCGTCATCGTCTATCAAAACTTGTTTCTTGTTAGAATGTGAAAGTTGGATTATGAACGGCAGTCTTGGTCGGTAATCTGTTTAAAAATGCTTGCCTACTTTCATGCTTCCGATGTATATGTCTCGTCATTCGTCTTATGAAAGCCATTTGTCATAAAAAATTTCTCCTGTTATATCACTACAGGTTTACTATACGCCAACAGCACGAGAGACCGCAGCAGCCCTTTGAACCAAGAACCCACAGTCAGTTACCTATCTCTTTCGTAACTATAGACTAAAAATCGCGTATAAGGAGTACTGTTCCACCCAAGGCATAGAAAGGGATTCGACAGGCGGTCCGAGAAAAATGAAATCACGGTTCTATAGAACTGAGAGGAATAGCCTTCCGCGGGGGGAAATGTAAGGATAACGGTTGGTCAGACGAGATCACCGATTACGAAGCCGCGCGAGATCGCAGAGGCCACTAGATTGCCCAGGAATGGTGGCAGAAAGTCCTTGCACATTGTCAAGGTACTTCACTCTACGAATTACCCGAAGTTCCCACACTTCCCCTTTCTTGGGAACTCGCCGTGCCCTTTTCTCCTCATTCCTTTCGTCGCACTATTACTTCCCATGAAATGGTTCATTTGTTGACTGTTAATGAATAAATCGCTCCGTTACTCGTTGTTCGCTATCTGGGAGAAAGTAGGAGACTATATTTTGGTGATAGGCAATCAACTATCCACTGGGTCATGTGGATTACAACAACCGGCGACGATCCAATTAGTCTTTGAACAGAAACAAGCTCGTTAGCAACTTTCTACGCTGAAGCAGCACGAATATAGGTGGAGAATAGGTGGTTCGCAGCTGACCTGATGCCAGATGGATCCGGGGAGACTACTACAGCTGGAAAGTGTTGCGAAAAGATTGAAGAAGACTGTGAACTTCCATGAGCGCGGCACCGGTCAGCAGGGATGGGCCGATTCCACCCTTCGACAACGTTCGGCCCGATCGCACAGCCCACCATGAAGAAAAAATGGCTAAACTACGAAATCTCTCGCACCCATCATATTCACACACTTGACCCCGCTGATTACCACGTCCTCCAGCGTTTGAACAGAGAGATGCTTCAGAAGCCAACTCAATTTTGATCCGAAAGGTAGTGAATTCGGTTTGGAAAGTGGTGGATTTATCAAAGTAAGGTGATATATATCCTCCAAGCCTTCTCGCCCAGACGTCATGTTAATGAAGAGCCAATGAAGGTTCGTTGCAAAAAAAATCGGTCGTCAAGTATGCTCTGATGATAGGTCATTGTTTCTAATAAGGCAATCTTTTTTTCTACAATGATATTTTAGGCCTTTTCCCGAAGGAAAATATCGAGTTTGCTGAAAGTGTCGATGCGGATGATGCAACAATTCTGAAAGAGGTGAGTTCAGGCTGAATTCAGCAATAGCATCATTATTCATCTGACAAAGATACTTAACTCTTGGAAACACTCGATTTTCTAGGGAACGAGAACCACATCGCCGTTCACCTTAGGCTGCGTTCATACTTTGAGGCAGCGTCCACCCGCGTCTACCAGCGTCAGCGACTAGGAAAAGTATAGATATCGATCTAGCGTCTGCCAGCGTCCACCAGCGTTCACCAGCGACCGGGAGTAGAGAGTATGGGGAAGTAGGAGGGTAGCAAACAGCTGGATTAGGCGTCGTGAAATTGCGGCGTGTGCAACCGCACCGCAAACTGCTTAAGCACAGAATTATTAGAATGTACGGTGTTGTGTACGGTGGATACAGGTGCAGACGCCGCAATTTCACAATGCTCAATCGAATGTTTGTTATCTCCCTATTTCCCCATACTCTCTACTGCCGGTGAGTGGTGAACTCTGCTAGACGCTGACAGACGCTAGATCGATACTTATATTTCCTCAGCCCTCGAGAAGCTGGTGGTCACTGCTCGACGGCTGGCACACGCTTTCGACGCTGGCAGACATCAGGTCGATATCTATACTTTCATAGCCGCCGGACGCTCGGAAAGCTAGTGGTGGCTGGAGGACGCTGGTAGACGTTGCCGCGAAATGGGAACGCAGCCTTAGTACCCAGTAACGTTTTGTTGACAGGACCTCGTGTATTGCTCCAGAAGCGGAACGAACTCGTGGCCCAACCCCTTTTAACACTATTATGTGGTCTTTGGAAGATTTGTAGTGACTTGGTGCGAATCTCCTTCTTATACGATAAGGAGGGAGAGCACAGCAACTGAGAAGACATTACGGTTGAGAGTTCGGCTCAGCCGCCTATCGCAGATTAGCGGAATCGGATCTTGTGGCTATCTTTGATTGCTGCACATTATTTCTCATCAGTGTGACTAAAAATGAGCGCCAGTTCAGGTGTTCGTAAAGCATTCAACGTTCAATGAAATCGGTGAGATGATTGAAGCTGTGGAGGCGAAGTCACCGCAACTTGGCAAAAGGATGCGAGCCCTATTAGCCGGGAACTGCTCACGACTGGACGGTCTCAGTCCAACGGCTATCGACTACAGCAAAAAGGTACAGTATTCGACAGAACGTTAAACCTAGAATATACTCCGCGACTGCACTCGTGGAGACTTTGGTCCAAAATACGAGTTCGTGACTAAGCAGGAAAGTACTAGGCCGTCAAAATCATCGGAAATGCTTTGAAAAGCCGTATAGTTTCGCTCGTCTTGAAAATGGACTAGAAAGGAGAGAAGAACAGAGACCGTGAACGCGGGTGAGAGACTAAAGACAAGAGGGATGGAACAGAAGAGGGTAGAGGACAGACACCGAGTTGGGTATTCGTGGCGGCAGACCGCGGCCTCAAACCGGCCAATCCGTTTAGGCGGAAGGGCCTCATAAACTGTGGATTCCGCCCATCAGGCATACCAAAATGGGTCTAAAGGTAATTTGAACGGGATCGTATATGGAACAGCTAAAAGACGAATGCACCGAAATAATGAGTTATCGATCCATCGCTAGTCAACCTACGAGAGTTAGGGGGAGGGCGTATTAGGACCGCAGAGATAGTCTCGGTTGCATGACTCTTTCATTATGCGCCATGCATTCAACTTTTATTCTCAATAATTGCGAGAAGCTTCCTCTTAATTCCAGGTCATTACCTTCGTCACAAGTGTGATGTGCCGACTGACTCTCGGCGAACAAGTTTCCTTCGATGAGGCAGAGGATCTGCACCAAGCCTTCCAGGTATGGTTACGTTTTTGCAGCTATAACGGTTTTTCGATGCGCCGTGGTGGTAGCAGCCTCACTTTTCTCTGTCGCTCAACCCCTGTATGTGAGCTCTTACTTTGAATTTGCCCCTGATACCTATTCCCATTTCCAGGAGCTCTCGAGTCAAGACCAAGCATCGTTGCAGAAGGCAAACCCGGATCTTCAGTTCTAAACTTTTCGCTTACAATCCCTATCTCATTTTTAGGTTGCCATCACATTATTGCTAGCAGCCAGGGTACAGCATCGTTTTGTGAAGCGCATGGGGATAGTGGTGCTTGGCCGTTAGGGAGCGGAGAGGCCGTATTTGGTCACTGTTTGTAAAGGGGGCTCGTAAGCGCCTTTGAGAGAAATTTGTCGCGTTGAAAAACAATTGTTCCCGGTTGTTGACTTTTCGTGATTCTTCCTATTTCACATCGGCTATATACCGTAGAAAGATGGGAGAAGTAACTTTGACATGTGCTATTTACGCCTGGGAAAGGGGGGAACTGTTCCTTGAGGTAGGGGGGGGGGTGGTTGTACTGACACCAGCATTTCAAACATCACGATGCTGCACCCTGCCAGCTACTGTACTTTATGATGATTATCGATTTTGAGCGAAAATAATCGATGTCCATTGTCCATGTAAGACTGTCCAAAATGTGATGGCGCTCTGAATCATTTATTGTGGCATTAGTGCGAATTATACTCTATTTTTTCTGACCTCTCTTCTACATTGATCGTTGTATGATATTGCTTTTCTTTTTTGAATAAAACTAATTGATGAAGAACCGCAATAAAACAACACCTGCGAGGCGTAGCGTTACGTTCGGTTTGTACCTTATTTGTTACCCCTTTGTGTCGATACCTG